GGCACAAGACCATGGTCTCAAATTTGGAGGCACTGATCCTCATCCCGGCCACTTCACACTCGGCTGCGAACYGCTCYTGTGAGAGCTGGAGATCAGGRTCTGATGAAGCCAACAGGACCACATTATCCGCAAAAAGCAGAGATGCRATCCTAAGGTCACCAAAACGGATTCCCTCAACTTCTTGGCGCCTAGAAATTCTATCCAAAAAAGTTATGAACAGAATCGGTGACAAAGGGCAACCTTGGAGGAGTCCAATTCTCACTGGAAACGAGTCCAACTTGTTACCAGCAATGCGGACCAAACTCTGACACAAGTCGTACAGGGACCTAACAGCCCATCAAAGGGCTTGGTACCCCATAGTCCTGGAGTTTTTTTTATTTGGCTCCTTGTGAAAATGAATTGGATCCCTCCTGAGTTCAAAGGTCACACGCCTTTAAAAATAAGTTAGAAGTTTATCTATAGATATGGCACCATTCTAAGGCCAGAAAAGGCTCATGAGAAATGGGACAAGGAGAAAGGCTGGTCAGCTGAGTTTGTGGTAAAACCATCCATCCCTTATCTTTTACTCTTTTCAGGGTCACGGGGGTCACTGGTGCCCATTTCCAGCAGCCAGTGTGCTAGGGGAGGGGTACAGCCTGGACTGGTCACAAGTCCATCACAGGACCTCATAGAGACAGACAACCATTTGCTCACTCACTYACACCTAGTGACAATGTAGAGTTACCAATTAGCCTAACATTCATGTTTTTGGTCTGTGAGAGGAATCCGGAATACCCAGAGAAAACCCACACATGCACAGAGAGAACATGCAAACCTTATTTCTGGGAAACAGCTCAACCAACTGAGTCAAAACTTTTATTTTAATTATTGTTAGACTCTTGTCTTTTTCTGACGAGCTCAGCATTTTGTCACTAAATTTACATTATTGCAACTAGCTTTATTTGAAATCATTCAACATTTTTTTTTCAGTTTTCTCTCTTACATATAGAATAAACTATTACAAACAATATTCCCTGTGAAACATTTATGTGTCATTTGAAATTTAGATTTTAAAAAGAAATCGATCGTCTGCATGTTTTAGAGCCACTTATTGCAATGTTTTTCTCCAGTTKAGAAGCAATTCATCAAGCGTGGAATGAGACGTGTATATCTGCCTCTTCAGCAAAGTTCAGGCCAAACAAACACCACTGAGACAATGTTCAACAAAACTGTGTCAGCTTTTTGACAAGAGCTGGGCCAAGGTCGTGCCTGCTGCAGAATGTAAGGTCCGACAGCAGGACTACAAAGTGTGCAGCTGACAGTACTGCTCCTGCTGCACAGTAAAAGGCATGTGCATCTTTCAGGCTGTGTTGTTTGTTTGCCTTTGTATGATCTGTAGTTGTTTTACAGTATGCTCAGGGTTTGAATCTCTAAAATCATTTCAACAATCCAGTTTAGATCTTTTCTCACTTCCTAAACTAGAATAACTGAAATAGGCATTTTTTAATGTGTAAAATAACATAAAAAAATAGAACCTGATTTAAACAGAATCTGAGTTAGATGGTAACTATTCTTCAATGACAAAAACAGACACTGGCAACAATTAAGTTTTTTCCCTTTGCCTTTTGATGGTGGGCAGTGGTGGGCAMMRGCCCGCTAAAGCGCAAAACCACTAATTGCAGACCTAAATATTTTGTTTGCACTTTAGCAGTCTTACAAATTTTTATAATTCATAAGTGCATTTGCGCTTTTTAAAATTAAACTGCAGTACTGCTAATGACTAATTATCTACCAGTCATCATTATCTTGAACAGCGGAAGGTATGACTGTCAATGAATCACAACACATGTGATCTATCCAACAGCACCCCTCCCAGATAAACACACTTATTGTGAAGGTATACATCCTGCTGACTGTTGCTTTCAGTCACGGTTCTGATTTTACAGACATTTCCCACAATGCTTTGTGTCTGCTTATGTAGCAGGAAGGCAATGGCTAGAACTACGTGACCAGGCGAAAAGTTAATGTTTGTAATCCATACTAAAGTTTTGTATGTATTGATTTATTTTACTTTGCAATCTAAGCTCTTTTTAAATAAAGTTTAAACACTGGACCTCAATACTTGACGTAATTGGTCAAAAGCAATCGGCCAACGGKGTTAGCTGAAGAGAAGCAGAAATGATTTAAAGATGTTATGCTGATGAAGACTGACATCTAGTGGTCAACTGGAGCAACAACAAAAATATGGACAACTTTAAAATTCATGCTCTTATTTTGAAGTGAAGATAGTTCTCTGTACTCCGTGCTTTCGTTTCCCATCACAAATCAAATCCGTCATGTACCCAGAATGCATCGCTTCAGTTTTCCAATAAACAGTTTTAAAATTACTTTATTGATGCTTCTTTAATGAAAAATCTACAATAAACAAAAGAAAACTAGCCGAACTAGCAATCCTCAACAACTTTTTAATATTTACACCAGGAGCCAAAGGTCTGTTTCAGGAAATCACATCCCCAGCAATCAGCAGTTGTAGAATTAAATTGTAAAACAGTTCATACTCCGCTAGTTGGCAGTGTTGTAAATATATTGTACATGAGTTATTGCCAGCTAGTAAGTTTCAAATTGAACTTGTGCTTTAAAATTAGCTTCCGCAAGTTTGTCTATGGCATAAGCACTTTAGAAATTGCGGAGCTAATTTTTGGATTAGCGCTGCCCACCACTGATGGTGGGTAATAATAAAAAATCAAGCAGAATAATGGGAAGGAGAAAACCACAAGAAACTGATACTAAATTGGCCTATTTATAAGTCCTAATCAGGGTTTCTGTGGAGAGCTATATAGTACAATTTTTGTTGCATAAATACATTTTTCACATATGTAAGAGATGGCATCAAGGTCAACACAGGAGTTTGGTGAGAACCTTATAAATGTTTCACATTGATCACACAGAAATCACGTAAAAAGGACAATCTGCATTTCACATGTTATGTTTGTGTTTCTGTAAAGGTAGGAACCAATCATTTTGCATTTATTTTCAAATGAAGTCCTAACTAGAACATTTAATCTCTATTGTGACCATTTTAAAAAGATGTTTATGTTTGCTCAAAAATTTTGCATTTGGAAATTTGGAGTATATCCTAATTAGAGTGACTGTACTGTTATAGTTTTGATGAAATACTAGAAGGCACTGAATCCTAAACTTTTTTAAGTAGTTACTCAGCAGACTAATTAGCTCAAAGCTAGTATCTCACTGGGAAACAATTGATGATGAATAGTTGGCAAACAGCATTACTGAGGGAGTCCTCATAATGTTTTGAAATGTTCATAGGGGTCCTTAATTTCCTTGCTGCTTGAAATTTCAGACAGCAGGACAGCTCAGTGGTTTGCACTGATGTCTCACAGCAAGAAGGCCCTGGGTTTGATCCCCGATTAGGGCCTGTGGAGTTTGCACATTCTCTTTGTGCTTGCATGGGTTTTCTCCTGGTGCTCCGGTTTCGTCTCACAGATCAATAACATGGATGTTAGGTTACCTTCAGGCCAGGTCTCTCTTGCAAACGAAATATGTGACTTGAAAATGATTTGCCTTGTTCAATAAATGTTTAATATGTTCAAAAAAGTTGTGCAATGATATTTTTTTCTTTTCAAAATAGCCACAAAGTTGCCATGGACGTCTGGAGTTCATCTCAAGAGATTTAGGGGTATTTTTGAGACCTGCATAGGGAAAAAATGTCCACGTTTGAACAATACACACAAATTATATGTATAAAAGCTACTGAAATACTAGTCAAAAATGCCTGCCTTCATTTTAAAGGTGTACTTCAGAAGATCTACTCAAAAACGTGAGGGCAGCAGCCAAGTTGGACACAAATGGGTCACTGATGGTAGGATGTGGGCTAACATAGGCATCAACATTTTGTACAATGGCTAGAATACAGTTTTGCAAGTCTCACAAATTTCAAGCTGGGATTTTCAAAAAAGTGGCCACACAAAACACATCTGTATGGCTTTTACTGGACACTTGGTTGCACACACTCAGGTGCTTTTTCTGTTGCAGTCTCACTGAGTTCGATTTTCTTTCAATTGTGAGTCCTAAACTAGTCTCCAACCGTCCACAGCCCAGTGAGATGCTGCATTTATCAAAATGAAACGATGATTCATAAGCAAAAATGTTTCATTCTTTCTCTATTTTTTACTTTATTTTCCTGCCTGTGTGTTCAGAAAGATGCCAAAGCCATTTATATCCTTACCCTAACTTTTTTGACCACAAAAGACCAAAAAATAAATAAATAAAAACCTGTCCTCTTACCCTCCTGTACATATGCTTTGCTCATTATAATGATGCCTACTTGAATACATGAAATAAAAATAATAATCATTACTGTGCAGGTCAGGCAGCAAAAAAGCAACATCTTCAAAGGAGCAGATAAACACTGTTGATGTGCTTTCTTGTTCTCCAAACACAAGGTTACCTTGGTGTGTTTCTTCAAAGTGACTGTCAGTGGAAGGTGACAGGTTTAATTAAGGGGTATTGGCTGTGTGCTGCCAACAGAGAGCCTATACTCAGAAAAAAGCAAACAAGTCTTTGTAAGGATCAGCTCTAGAGAAGTCTCAGTTCTGGCTGAAGATCAGACAAAAGGTGCCGTCAATTCTGACACTCTCACATCGACAGTAGCAGGGGGTGAACAGGCCCGATTTGGGCTAATGGTAATTGTGACCTTTTTGCTGGGAGCCACTAAACGGGTCCTTTTCAAGTAGCTATTTGATCCTCTCATTCAATTATCTGAGATGAAACCTTCCAGGTGAAAGCTGAGCTTCTCTGTGTGAGTCACCGTTTGTTCTCTCGAATTGAGAAGCTGCTTCTGTTTTCACAAACATTCGAAGAGGTCCCCAATTTCAGCCGCAGTCTCCTCCATGAACATTTTCATAGACAGCGTTAAAGACAGGTTGTTGTAAGTGAGTGTTTTAAGTACATCGTCTGTGTAATCACTCCCCGTTTATTTCTTCTCTTTTCTTCCTAATCAGGTCAGGAAGAGTGGGCAAACGGTCGCAGCAAGGCACTGTCAGCGAGAACAACCAAGGGGGTGTTCAGAGATCAGCCGTACCCCAGATACTGAACTGTTTATATGAGCCGCGCCTGACTCCTCGTGGCTGGTTCAACCCAAGTAATGGATTTTTTTGTATGGACACTCCCACCTTTTTAGAATTGAGAACTAAAGGACAAAATAATTCCAGCAAAAACCTAAACCYCAAATGTTTGTTTCAGTAATGGAATCCCCCCGAACAATGAACCTGACTGGGTAAACTCTGTAAAACCTTTTAGGTAAGCTGACATCCCCCACCTCCACAGGAGAATCAACTGGACGTTCAGACTAAGAACGACTCTGTAGAACAATAAGTTTCTCTTTCAGCTCTGTGATTGTGAAGAACAAAATTGTGTCACCTCTTTTATTGGTAATGATTAGTAAGCTTGTAGAGACTGTTCAATCCAGTGTTTCTACCAGCTTCATCTATCAACCCCCGCCCCGCCCCCCTACCGCCTGGTCTTTAGACCTCTGACCATCAACATCTATTTTAATTCTTGACCAAACCCCCATCTGCTCTCTTTGTTGGGAACTGAAGCCAGCAGGATCTAGTTTGTTGGACCCACTTTGTAGTATTGTACGGAGGCCGCAAGGGGACACTGTTTTTTTTCTTTTGCGTTCCCACGCAATACATTTGCGTTCCCTCGCAATACTTTTGCGTTCCTTCGCAATACCTTTGCGTTCCCTTGCAATACTTTTGCGTTCCCTCGCAATACTTTTGCGTTCTCTCGCAATACCTTTGCGTTCCCTCGCAATACTTTTGCTTTCCCTCGCAATACCTTTCCATTCCCTCGCAATACTTTTGCGTTCCCACTCAACACCTATGCGTTCCCTCGCAATACCTTTGCGTTACCTCGCAATACCTTTCCATTCCCTCGCAATACTTTTGCGTTCCCACTCAACACCTATGCGTTCCCTCGCAATACCTTTGCGTTCCCTCGCAATACTTTTGCGTTACCTCGCAATACCTTTGCGTTCCCTTGCAATATTGTTTTGCATCCCCACGCAAACGTTTGATTCGTATATGAACTGAATTAAATCAGACTTTATTTTGAAATATCCAGTTTCCAAAACAGGATGTGTTGCCACAAGTTCGTGAAATTGACAATGATKTTGCGTAGCTGCACTGTGTTAAAATATCGGCATGACATACTTCCATGTGTGGTTGTGTGATATATTCATTCTGAAGCTGAATTAAAGCAGTAGGCTAACTCGCTAATGGTGAACATGTGAGTTTGTTAATAAACCGGCAGGCTCAACAGTGTTTAACGACTTTTGCAAGGGAATGCAATACTTTTGTGTGGGAACGCAAAAAGAAAAATCCCCCATGTCACCTCGCGGCCTCAGTAGTATTGAGACTAGTCATTGCACTAGTGATGCAGGGTTTTATGCCCCGTCTACCCACCCTGCACACAACCATGGTGTTACATGACCTTTTTTGTTTAGTACGAAAGAACTTATTACAGCTAAACCTAAAATATAAAATGTTACAAGAGTCAACACCTGCAAAATATATCTGAGGTGGGTTTTTGTAAGGACAATGTCCTGTTTTGTTACATGGAGTAGGCGGGRCTTAAAACTGGACTGGGAACATCCTATGGGAATACTGTTACGCTTTCAGCTTCACCCTACTGTTCGGGGTTTCAGTATTAAAATATATGTTAATACCTCTGAGATGTAGTAGCTTAGTTCTAGGAAAGTGCAGTTGTGTAGATATTATTCCTGAAGGTCAGCTGGTGAAATTTGTGTCCCCTGTAAATGAGACAATTTGCAATTTAAAAAAGTCATAATCTAAACACACTATATTGCTGTTTTTCCCCCTTGTTTTACCTTTTTTGTAAAATAATAGTCTGTTAGTGTTAAAGGGCTTATAAAAGCATGATGTGCATCTGTGAATAATGCTGGCTGTTTTATTCTAACAAGCCTGTGTAGTTGTGCTCATTATGTCCAGAAAACATCAGTTTAAACTCATTGATGAAAATTATCTGCACAAAATTGTTTTGTGAACAACTGGAGTTTGGGAGATTTTTATTGTCTGTCCGTTTTTTACTTTTTCATCTAAGAATTATAACAATTTTTCTCTTCTGAGTTTTACCATCCTAAAATGTTCTTCCATTAAATTTGTTCAACTTTATGGATTGTGAGCTTATGTAAGCCCTTTAATATCTTCTTTGTTCATGCTGAATAAAAACTTGAAAAGGAAATATTTGTGCTGAGGAGAATAATGATACATTTGTTAAACAGTTTTATTATTTAAACTAAACAGAAAATAAACACTTGTGTCCAGATTTATCAATGAGCTGTTTTCAATTAGTTGTGTGTCGTGTAGCCACAAAGAGTTTTATACATTAGTTTAATTCCAGAAGCTCCTACAAAGTGATATTTGCACTATAATTTCTGCACAGTATTTAAATAAGGTTTTATGCTGCATTCAGTGAGGAAAAAATACTCATATTTAATAAAAGAAAAGTCCTGACTTAAATCAGATCTTTAAACTGTGCTGTTTTTGAGACATGGTTTCTGTAAGCTATTTTCTGGAGCACTTGTGGAAACTAGGATAGGCATGTCAGAAAAAAGTATTCATCCTCTGTTCCAATGATGAGTAACAGATATATATCTAGATACGTACCTTTGTCCATTCAGAAAACACAGCAAAGCCCACCTCTTATGTTTGTCTGTGCCGCCAAGTAAAGAAGTAACAGGGCCGGAAGATGTAATAGAAAAAATCTGCGTGCCACAACTTCATAAAACGATGAACTGATGACCTTTAGTGTGTAACCACCCACTTGTGATTAAACAAGTAACAAGTTACTTTTTTACCAAGAAAATATTGGTGATGTCACACAGCAATATCATAGTTAGTTCTAAAAAATAAAAAAAAACTACAATGTAGATACCTAAAGTAAGTTAATTCAATAAGTTTGGTAAATGGCATGAGGCAATGTCTGTAACAAATGAAAAGCATCAAAAACCACTTCAACCCAGCAGTTCTGCTCTTTTGGTTGAGCTCTGCCTGCGTCGTTTTTGAATGTCCACATCTGAGCAACAAGTGGCTGGCTCCATCTATGATTTTTCGTTCACAAAAATATGTATATGTATATGTGTGTATATATATATATATATAT